TCTGTCTGTCTGTCTGTGTCTCTGTCTGTCTGTCTATAGTTTAACCTGCTGAAGCGCGCTGGCTGTTTTCTGGACACGATGACATGACTTCAGGTATCTAACAGCGTTGGGTATGAGAGCAGGCAGCTGGTCGGGCTCCATGCAGCTGCTTTTGTTGCTGTGACTTTGTTTGGATGGGTGGCATCATCATCATCATCATCATCAGGGCTCAAACTCTGTTCTTTATTTGGAAAAACAGAAGATGACAAACGGGTCACAGAGGCTCTGAGCTGCTCATTAAGTAACAATCACTGTGAAGTAAAACTGAAAACTAATGAGAAACAAGTGTAATCAGAGTAATCAGACTCCACCGGAGGCTCTGCTAAGCTTCACTGCACCTCACATTGTTGCGTTTTTAGAGCCTTTTCTGCGATTCGTATAAAATTTGAAAATTTTGAAAAGCTGTGAAATTTTCTCTTATATTAAAAACTTTGCAGCATATATATTTTAAAAGCAGTCTTTTGACCCACTTTCAGCCTGAACATGAAAACAAAGCTTGACAGTTTTTCATGTTCATCTTAAACTTGGCCTCAGAATTAAAAACGTGCTGGATGTGGTCGATGGACCCTTTTAAAAACGTGTAAGTCAGAAGTGATGGAGCAGAAGCTCCACGCTGGGCTCAGATGGAGCGATGAGCCTGCCGACCTCCACCTGATGGAGGATCAAGCAGCAGAGAGCTTCCTTCCTCCTGCTGCGTTCAGACAAAACAGCAAGTTCCTCCTCTGACAGTCGAGCAGGCGCAGTGAGCGGGTGGAGGAGAACTATCAGGCTGGTCAGGCCTCGGTCAAGGTGACCTGTGAGGCTGAACAGGTGAAGGTGGAGTCCACACCCGGCTCCGCCTTCAGCAGAGACCCGTTCGTTCCTCCTCCCCGTGCTACATGATTAAATCGGGAGGAGTTGGAGTCTGACTCTGCCTTTCTGAGGTGAGTCTGGGACGCCGTCTGCAGCTGTGACAGCACTCGGCGCTCCGCACGGACATCAGAGAGTCGCCGCTCCCCGCCCGCCTCCGCGCGGAGCGCCGCTGTGTTGAATTATTGAACGGCCAGATGAGAGGTGGCCTCCTCCTGCTGCCTCTCCAAATAAAATATATTCATCCCGCCTGCCCAGAGGCAGACAGCTGGCTCG